CGGTGAACATATACATGTACTTGTACTTACCAAGGGTGTATGTGGTTGGAACTATAAGGGTGTCAGCAGTGTTAGACTTTGGTACATAGATATTCCCAGTAAATCCCCTCAAATCACCATGCAACACCTCTGGGGCAGTCAGTAGATCCTTAATTTTTGAATTATTTCTCAACACTGTGGACTGTGATAGATTCAATGTCGGATTTGGATTTGCCTCAGTTGGCTTACTGTCCACAAAGTGATCAGAGCATACTCGACTATACAGGTTTGGAGTCCAAGTCTGCCTTGATGTATCGTTTTGGTTGATGCAGTTGATCCAGCTTGTCCATGTGTCCGGACACTTCTCTTTGCTTGGGAAAGTATACAGCTGGAATGGTGGGTCGCATATACATCGTCCCATACCGTAGTTGCAGCCATGTTTCTCACAATGCTGTCTTTTCCATGCTCGAATTCGGTGTGTGTTGTTTGTACATCCAATTACCGCACATGTACAGGTTGGCATGACTACCCTTGAACCTGAAAGACACGAATATACAACGGCCATGTTAGCATTTTACCGATTAGGAGCTGACTATTAGTAACTCTGGGAGGGGAAATGATAGAGAAATTACGCAAATTAATTTTTCTCTTTTACTTACTTTTCAGCTAGATATTTTTTTCAGGATAATAATGATGTAGGATAAAATCATTTTTGCATTCTTATGTGCATGATCTGTTTGTTTTTTCAAATTTTCAGAATAGATTTAGTTTTTTTGAAAATACCAGCATCCCCCCTACAATTTTAATGGTCAACCCCTTATAAATGTATGCTGTATTACTGTAAAATACTTTATTTTCGCTTGGAATTTATTTTCACTATTTTCGCTGCAGGAATGATTCAGTGAAAATAAAATCCAGCAAATATACTCTTTCCCCTATATTTTACATTCAACTCGTCAAAAATAAGTGAAAATAAATTCCATACAAAACACCAAAAAAGTCTTTTCAGAAAATTAATTTCAGCTAAAATAAAATATTCGACAGTATTATACATCTGTCACACCATTTACAGCGTGCCATAATTTTGGGGTATTGCACTGGGTTCATCCTACCATATTAGAAAACGAAAATTCCAAATATAAACGCCCTCTAATAATAAAAACAAACATTTGACTGACACCACACAAAGACGTTCGCTAAATCTGTTCTAAATGTGTTGGACTTCGTCATTCCCATGATAAATTTCTTGGAGGAAAAGATGTGTAATAATAATAAGGTTATTACGTGGATACTGCAAAGTATGCACGAAGACAGTATCTGTCGCATTGACCTCCGATGCGTGTTGGTTGATACTCCCACTGTACTGTCCTCGTGTATACTTTGCAGTGTCTTTATAATATCCTTGAAAGCACTGAGAAGATTATGTGGGAATGAAAATTTGTCACAAGAATGTACCAGTACTTTGCTGGAAACTTAATTCTGTTACCATATTTTCACTGACATTTAATTTCACTATTTTTTATGTTTTGGGCAAACCGGTATTCACTGTGTTTTAAGTTGACTAATTTATCAAGGAAACACTTAAACACTTAGTTTTATTGTTATTTTTCATATTAATGTAGATTTAATTTAGCTTATCAACAAAAATAGGGAAATTAAAATTGTGTGAATAAATAATGCATTTACAGTAACTAAAATTTAGACAATATTTTTTAAATCTAAAATTACTATGGTACAGTGAATTTCACAAAGCCATGAAAAATATTTTAAAAACAGAAACCGGCAAATGATAGAAGAAAACATGCACTGAATTATGGGTAAATAATAGACAAAAATAGCTAAATTCGCTAAAAAGACATGCTCGTGAAAAAGATATGTTTTACAGTATTATAATATATGGTACATATATTTTGCAGGTTTCAATACTTAGTCACAACACAGGCTAAAAAATGCAGAGGCTCATGGGTAGATGCTTGTTTGTAAACAATGACACGCTATGGTCGTCTGACGCATGCGCAGGTGACAACTCCTTCGCTTTAACTGATAGTGAAATTTTTAAAATTAAAAATAATCAAAAGAAAAAACAAGATTGTGATCATAGTAATATTTCCTGCTTTTAATGAAGCCCTACACTTACTTTAATGCCACAAACCCATTTCTAAGATTTTTATAAATAATTCAAAAAAATCAACAAGCACAGTGACAATCATTTGAAAATGTTTTAATGCTATCCCATCAAAGGATTTGCGGTCGCAAAATGATTTAAAAAACAAATCTAAAACTGTATGTTATGATCATAATTTTAATTTTACGAATTTGTCAAGAAAACAAGAGTTTTATTGTTATTCTACATGTCCACATAGATTTAATTTGGCGTATTTTCCTTATCAGTGACAATAGCAAAAAATAAAACCCCGTGAATAATTAATTCATTTACAGTATTTTTAAAAGTTCCTTTACATGTAAACCCCACCCCCCAGAATTTGTGATGAACCATCCCTAACTAGGGAACTAATAACACGTCTGTAGAATTCGCACGAGTACGACCTCGAGGTAAAGGGTCAATTTAATTCCAGATTTTACGCAGACATTCCCATGAAAAAATGGTATAGTCCACAACAGTGTAACAACAACAGTTGGCGAGATGTCTAAGCGATCACGCCGTTTCCTTGTTCTAATATGGGTGGCGATGTTTGTTCGTATACTTTCATTTGAATTTCGACACATGCAACTATTTCAATCGCCAAAAAAAACAAAAAAAAACAGGCCTTGTTTACGATGACAATGGACTAAAAATAACCTTAAATCTCAGTAGATGATAACACTCACCTTGAAATAACAGAACGTTGACCAAATCACAATACTTATCAAATTATGTTAGACCCTGGAAATACGCGATGCAATATGGCGGCGTTCGTTTTACCTTCTGACCCTTTGACCTCTATTTAAAAATGACGGGAAAATCGAGTCGAAAAATAAATTTTGCAACAGGCACAATTTAACGAAAATATATCAAAAAAAAGTATTTGGCTTTTACCGAGATATTCCCATTATGCTGTAATTTGCAGATGTTCCCGATAGCTTTACACTGCGGAACAACAAAGACGACATTTTGTTATTTTTATGTTCTGCGCCCTCTATGACCGAGTTTTATGTGACAGATCTAGCATCGCAAAAATAATTGCTTCGATGTTTGACAATTGTTAAGATATTTCTGAACGTCTAGAAACCCTTGATGAACGATCGAGTTCCCTTCCTAATGTGTAAGTATTACAGATATAATTTTCTCATTTTGGTCGCCTTTTAGTATGGTTAAGCGTGTTAACTCTAAAATCACTTGCTGCTTGTCACTTGTCGATCGGAAAACTGTGACCAACTATGTTTTTTTTTTGTATACAAAATCTTGAGAAATATCTTCGTTCATTCTTCCCTTTCAAATATTTTTAAATAGGTACATTTTACAGTTTGCTATATTCACTTAGCAAAATGTATCAATATTTTGCCAAAAATTTAAGAAATTAGTAATTTGCCAGATCAAGACCCCCTGCATTGTATAGAGGGCGCTGTATATTCAAGAAGTCGAGGGCCCAGGGGCATTTCATATCCATGATTATGATTATTCTTACGTCATTATTAATATCAAACTTTATGCAAAACATATAATCATGATTGATTGTGAAAGGAAACTTGCCTGAGCAAATCAACTTTTTTGATGTTTCATTAATGTTTTCACCACCAGACTTTATTTCCAAAATTCTTCTGCACTTTTTTTTTATATTCCTTAATATTTCTGACAATGAACTCTAATTTTGGAGCCAACAGACAAAATTTTAGTCAATTTTCATGTTTTACTCAAAAAATGTGGCTATTTTTGCCCAATCTTCTGAAGGAAAGAGCAGACTATAAACAGGATTATTTTGTGAATTTGTGATGAAAAAAGAGAACTGGTGGTGAAAAGGTTAACAGAGAACTGAAACATATGCATAAAGGAACAATGCTTTACATGGTGAGATCTGAAACCCAGATTGACTTGCATCTGTTTGTTATAATATTACTCCTCTGTAGTGAATTTTGTGTGGATCGGTGTAAGAGTTTTCAGAGTTATTATTTATTATTATTTATTTATTTTTCTTTATTTCAGACTGTCAAGCATTTGAAAGTCCATATAAAACTAGTATAAAAATAAATAAATAAATGAACAATAAATATATGTATATAGGTCAGTGTGCGTATGGCAATATTAATAGTACAAAATATTATTCAAATGCTGGAACAAGCTCACCAACAGACTGTTATCCGAGGTGTATATACGCTCTCTAAATTTAAATGCAAGATTTCTGAAAATATATTATGTTATGTTATGCATACATTCAAAATGACACATTTTGACCCAAAAACATGCTTAACATCTACAGATCCAAAAACGAAATTGATGAAAATCAGTTATAGTGATTTCATAGTTGCAAAGTTACATTTTTTTTACCAAAAAAGCCGAAAAGTGTTGCTTAG